AAAATATTAATGAAAAACTTAAATTTTTCCCTCTCTTGTGTCTACTGGGTCACCATAATTTATATCGTAAAAAAAAAACAAAGCTTCAAGTAATTTTTTTTTTATTATTAGCTCTGGATGAAATACTATTTGAAGTTTGATCTCCTGACTCACCAATCACACAAAATTTATGTAGTTTTTTCTATAAATATTTTATGAAATTGGGCAAAATGAATAATTTTTAGAAATTTGATTTAGACTACAGACTAATTGAAGTTTTTTTATTAATTAGGAAATGTTAGCTAATTCATAAATTTTATTTAAAAATTTTGGGATAGTAAAAAAGTTGATTGACCCGCCAACGTCTAAAGTAGGAATGTTTGGCCCTCGGAAATATATGTTTACAGCCTCGTCGATATCGGTTCACAAAATTAACATACACACAAAATTACAGAACACTACACAATGATAAAAGAAATATTTGAATTTCAAAACAAAATGCATTTTTTTCATTCTGATCCCTTGTGTAACTTCTTTTTTTCTGGCTCCTAATGAAAAAAAGTTTCTCCAACCCTGTGCTAGATAGTAGGTAACGGTAGATGAAAAAAAACAAAATTTTATTTTATATTACTTTATGGTTTATGGTTTAAGACATTTATTTCTCAAAGAACATACATATTCACTTAACGAGAAATACAAGGTATCATAAAATTTCTACACAGAGTACGTGTTGACTAAATATTTAAAAGACGGTATACAAATAAAACTTAATGATCTGACTTAGCAAAAAAAATAACAGCAACAAGGCTTTAATCAAGTATCGCATATCAATTGCCATGGTGACAATTTGATAGCAATTACTACTGAAATAAAAGTAAAAACATCAAAATCCTGAGAAATTCCTCATAATGTGAAATTTTAATTTCTTTTTGAATAATTGGAATGACTGTATTTCCTTAATATCTTTTGGTAATTTATTATATATTTGAGCTCCTTCGTACATTATGTTTTTCTTTCCATAATTCGTTCGCGGTATTTGCAAGTAAATATCGTTAGCACGCCTAGTTATACGTTTTTGAATATGTCGTTTTTTAGTGAAATTTATTTGCGAGTGAATATTTTTATTTAGAATCTTCCTAATCAGTATGCAGGTGTTATAATTATACATTTGTGAAACAGTCATTAATTTTGTTTTCTGGTACAGTGTTATAGTTGGGGTTAGATAATGGAAATGAAAAAGTTTTCTTATAATTTTATTTTGTACTGTTTGCAATGTTTTTAAGTGTGTTTTGCAAGCAGAACCCCAAACTTCAATAAGGTAGTCTAGGTGTGTTTTGACCAACGAATTGTATATTATATACCGAACACTTAACGGGAAACATCTTGTTATGCCATGGAGAGAACCCATGAGAGATAATATTTTTTTCCTAATTTTTTCAATTTGGAGTTTCCATGTTAAACGGCTATCCAACATAAGACCTAAATATTTTTCAGAGTTTACTCTATTTATAGCTTCGTTGTTAATAGTCAATATTGGAACTTTTGAGATCTTTTTATTTTTTGCTGAAAATATCATAAAATTTGTCTTAGTTACATTTATGGTAAGTAAATTGCACTGAAACCAGGTGTGAAGTTTTTTTAAATCATTTTGGGCTACACTTGCTATTGACTCGATATTATCACCATAATACAATAAGCATGTGTCATCAGCGTACAATGTTAGGTCGCCTTCCAAACCAATTTCGTGAACATTATTAATGTAGATTAGGAACAGTAATGGTCCCAAAATAGATCCTTGTGGGATTCCAAAAGTAATTGATTGAGGTGTACTCTGAGTGTTGCCAATTTTGACAACCTGCTGTCGGCTAGTAAGGTAAGACTTAATCATATTCAATGCAGTTTCCCTAATACCAATATTATGCAACTTATGTAAGAGTAGTTCATGGCTAATTGTGTCGAATGCTTTCTTTAAGTCTATAAAAACCCCTAGTGCTATTTGTTTTTGATCGATTTTAGTTTTTATGTTAGTGACAAGGTCGATAGTGGCAGACAAAGTGTTTGACTTGGGGCGGAAACCGTGCTGCTTTACATATATATAGTTAATTGAATTTAGGTACTCATTTAGGCGGACGTGGATTATTTTTTCTAAAATTTTTGAAAGAACAGGAAGTACAGAGATCGGACGGTAATTACCTGGATCTGACTTACTTCCTGATTTAAAAATAGGGCTGACTTTTGCTATTTTCAGTGAATCGGGGAAGTAGCCATATTCTAAACAATGGTTGATACAGGTGGTAAGTTGACTTATAATTAGATTTTTTACACATTTTATTACTTTACAGCTGATACCATCCAATCCAGTACTCGTGTTGGTGTTAAGATTGTCAATTATTTTACCGATTTCATCTGTTGACGTTGGAGGCAAATTAATAAATTGTGAGGAGTTTGCGATTTTAGGTTTGGGTTGCATATGATTATAATTAGTACTGTAGCGATAAATTGAGGGAATTTTGTCAGCTAAAATGGAGCCTATATTGGCAAAGTAGTGATTAAAACAGTTGCATATTTCTGTAATGTCCGTAATAGACCCCGTGTTGGTATCAAGTTTTGTAGGAGCACAAGTCGTTTTAACTTTATTAGTTGCTAAGTTATTTATAAGTTTCCACATTTTGAGGGGTTTTTTCTCACAGTCTTTAAATGCCTTATGATAATACTGACACTTAGTCGTTTGAATATTGTCACGGACTTGATTCCTTACGGCGACAAATTGTTTCTTGATACTCTTCTCCTGTGGCGATTTCATGTACATATACCACAACTGATTTCTTTTATTTATAGCTTCAATTATATCTCTTTTTATCCAATCTGCTCTTGGAGGGTTTTGTATTTTACTTTTTGTAATCTTTGCTGTATTCACTGCATCCATTAAGATAATTTCTAATTTCTCATATTTGGTTTCAAAATGTTGTAATTGGTACTGTTCTACTGTTTTATATAGTTTGTGATAGTCTATTGCTTGGTACTCAATTTTTTTCTTTGTTTCAGGTTCATATTTGTGTAATTCTATATAGATCTGCTTATGATCTGACATTGATGGTTCTACAGTAGCGAAATGAAACCTATTATTCCTTAGATTGGTGGAGACGTGATCCAAAATAGTTTTTGTGCTAGAAGTCTCTCGTGTACAGTATTTAGGGTCAATATTGTTTAGTATTGTAAGTCCACTTTCAAGTAACATAGTTTTGTAATTGGTGATTGATTGATTATCCTCTAGCAAATTATAATTGAAATCGCCGAACACTATTACACGTTGACGTTTGAGTAATTGTTGTGAGAAGGTTTCGAGAAAACTGTCATTGTTTGTCCTTTCTGGTTTGTAAATAGCACCAATGTTTAAGTTGAACTTGTCGATGTGGATCCATAGGTAATGATTGTCATTTTCATACAGTTCTTCGCTAGCTTCGTGTTTTAGGTTGTTATGAACATATATGGAAACACCTCCACCCCTTTTGTTGCTTCTATAATTAAAATAATGCGTATAATTAGGTAGCGTTAATTTTTGAGCTTCACTCTCAGACTTGATCCAAGTTTCCGTTAAAATTATAACATGTACAATGCTAGAGATTGCTTGAATACTGCATCTCAATTCGTCTAGTTTGCCAGGTTTAACGATGCTGCGCGTATTCGCATACAGGAACTTTAATGATTTCGGATTGTTAACTAGGTTACTGTAGGTACTAGCTGTGAAATATGTTACGTTGTTTACGGTAAAGTTTTCGACAGTATGTTCTATACGAGGTTTTTTGTACTGAGTTCGGTAATCTTGGGGATACCTTTGACGTACTTAATTGTGAGGTTTTTTTCACCCTCAGCAATTCTGCGTTTTAGTTGTTCTCGCAAATTTTGCAGTAAGGTCTTCTGATTAGGTGTTGTATCTGAAAATATTTTGATTCCATCAGCTTTTAAATTCGCTTTATTCCGCAGAATCGATTTAGCTATATCCGACGTTGTAAAACAAACTTTTAGTGGTCTGGATTTATTGCTGCTGTACTTTCCCAACCGAATAATTTTAATAGGCTCAGCGCAGTTAGAGACAACTTGATTAATAATTTTACTTACTTCTATTTTATCATGAGTGCGCCTCTGTTCAGATACATGGGAATTAATTTCGTTTACACCGCTAATGACTATATTTTTCTCCCTCTGAATTCTGTCATAGATTTCAGCCATAAAGTCTTCACACGCAGGCGCAGGCGTCGAAGTAGTGGCTGCAGTGGTCTTAAGCGTATCAACATCAGCCGACAGAGACTCAAGTTTTTGTTGTGTATCATTTTTGAAGGTGGATATATTTTTCAGCTCTTGTTTAAATTTCTGTTGTTCAGCTACAAGTTGATCTGTTGTAGTTTTAATTTGAGTAATTTGATCTCTGATAAGTGATACATCTTCAGATATTTTGTTCAGATTGTTTGTTTGAGTCTGAGCCATAGTTGATAAAATTGACATAATTTCGGTTTGAAATCTATCGAATTTCGAAGAAAAATCGTCATCTGGTTGTTTTCTTTTGTTACGAATAGTGATTTGTTGCATTTCCAGCTTAGACAGTTCCCTCAAGTCCGTTAAGGATCCTCCACTACTTGAAGTTCGAGGTGTTATCATTCTGCTATGAGTTGCTATCGTCTCATCGCTATCGTGACATGTTTTCGATCCATGCGGTGGTGAATGTTCGACATTCATTCTTGCCTACTGTTGTCTAATGTAGTATGAGTACGATGAATTATCAGAGTCCGTCCCTTTCACACGAGAGAAGGACAGGTAGTTTGCACCAGATTTGCCCTGGTCCAAGTTGCAACTTAGAACTATAACGACCCGTATGACACTTTTGCGGCACTTAAAACTGATACTAAAGTAAAGGACTTTGAGTTTAAATTACTTCAAATGCACAATTTAAAATTTCAATTAAAACGAGTCAACACGTCCACTCTGCGCGAACTGCGAGCTCCCAAGTCTTTAAATAAAACATCTCATCCAGTGTCACTTTCTGATGCTGATGAACTACTACCACTACTATCTGCAACCTGAATGATAAATTCGTCAATAACATTATCTGTTATACCATCCAGGTCTCTCATTCTCTTTTCTTCTTGTATAACGTGGCCAATACACTTTTGCCATGCTGCAGGGGTTATTAGATCCATTGATTCCTGTAATAATCTTTTTAATTCATCCATTTTAAATGTTTTATTTTTCCCTGCAACATAGCCTTTGACTTGCCCCCATATCATCTCAATTGGGTTTAATTCACAGTGATATGGGGGCAAACGTAACACTTCAATATCCTTTTCTTTAGCATATGTATCAGTGGCATATGCCAAGTATTTTTCTTTTATTGGTTTTAATATGTCTATAAGCTCCCTTTTTATTAATGTCTCCTGGAACGAGATACCTTTGCTTGTGAGCCAATTCTGAATATCAACTTTTTTCCACTGCATATTTGGTATTCGTTCCAGTCGACGAGAATGATAGGGAGCATTGTCCATCACTATAACAGAGTGAGGCTCAATTAAATTTATAATTTTTTTGAACCAATCTTCAAACACTTTAGCGTTCATTTCTTTATGGTAATCGCCTTCCCCTTTCTGACTCTCGAAAATTAGCTGACCCCCTTCCAAAAATCCAGCTTCATTTCCTAAAAGAAAAAAGAAAGATTATTGATGACCACCAAATGGAGGTTCAGCGAATGCTGAAAAGTCTATATCAACCAGTGTTGATATTGGAAGTCTTATTATGTATGCTTGGTTCACACAATGGGCTACTCTGTTAATTAATTTTCACATAAGTAAGAATTAAAGAATTAATATTTTGACGATACGCCATCAAAATATTAACTATAACAACTTACCAATGTGCACTATTATCAACCGCTTCCCTTTTCCAGAAGGCCCCTTCAATCCTGTAGACAATCCTTCTTGGTGAGCTTGACGGGTTGAATGTATTGTAGTATCTTGCCACACCTTTGTTTTTGTATGACCTTCAATAAATAAGAAACAATAATGTAAATGATGAAAGAAATCTGTACTGAATATTGTGGTAGTTATTTATAAAATCACTGATATAGGTTTCAGTATTGATTTCAGCTATGGAGTCTATAATGGTGTATTAGGAATTTTGTGAAAATTGTAAACGGATTGTTGAAATACATACCTTCATTACTCCATGTTTCGTCAGTGTAATAAATTTTCCGCCCATCTTCTCTCATTTTTGAAATTTTTTGCAAATAGTTGCGCCTCCATCTTACGATTTCTCTTTTCTCAATTAGAGCACTTTTTCTTGATCTTTTTAAATATTTGATTTGTAGTTTTTTAAGTAATTTTTGGAAAGTTGTTCTTTTGAAATTTGGTAAATCATCATCTTCGTTTACTGACATAAGAACATTGTCCACAGTGGGAAGTTCATTTCTAAAAAAGAACTCATGAACTTTTCTCCTAATAGCACTCAACTCGAAATCTAAAAGTTTGTCAATTATCGTTGCTCTTTGAGGAGGCGCAACGGGTGAGCTAACACGGTGCTCATTTCTGTACTGTTTCAGTACCTTGTAGACTGTAGCAAGGCTTACGCCGGCGGTCTCCGCGGTTTTCTTAGCCAAATCCTTTTTGTACCAGAATTGATCTTTTGGCCAAGTATCTTCAACGAGTTTATATATGTTGATTATAGTAGTCTTTTCGGAAGACCTCAGAGCGGATTTCTTTTGGCGCTTCTTCATGGGCGTTGAAAAAAGCTTCGTCGAGCTTGGTCCAGGTTGGTCACTCATTGTAACAGAATAACAACAAAACCGTAACAAATTATAACAGAAAGTCAACAAAAACACTCAACAAATAATAACTATAACAACAAAAACTCAAAAAAGCAGAATCGCACGGAAAGAAAAGTACTT